AAGTAAGCTGCTTTGCTCCCCACTAACAAGAAAGACGGAACTTTACCTAGGAAGAGGCTGCTGAGAGAGGAGGAGATAAAGTTGTCAACTTTAGGTATGGAAATTCCTGGATATTTGAGGAGTGGAGCCTGGAGAGGGGGGGGTTTGAGAAGGGGGTGGGACCTCAGACAGGTACAGTGCCATAGACTCCACCCTCCAAATCAGCCATTTCTTCCTGGGGAACCATTGTTGCCAGTCTCCAGGTGGGGGCTGGAGATCACTCAGAATTACAACTCCTCTCCAGGAGGGAGGGGAAAGGAGATGGAAAACCGAAGTCAGAGGTTGATAGTTGGCTGGGAAGGAGACAGGGTTGCCAACTCCAGGCTGGGAAATTCCTGGAGATTTGAGGGGTGGAGCCTGGAGAGGGTGGGGTTTGAGGAGGGGTGGGACCTCAGACTGGTACAATGCCATAGACTCCACCCTCCAAACTAGCCATTCCCTCATGGGGCTCCATTGTTGCCAATCTCCAGGGGAGGGCTGCAGATCACTCAGAATTACAACTGCTCTTCAGATGGTAGAGATCAGTTCCCCTGGAGAAAACGGTAAGCTCTGTGTCATTATACCCTGCTGAGGTCACCGCAGCAAATTGACAGAGTGCCCAAGGCCAGGGAAGCTGCCCACAGCCTCTTTCTAGAGTCTGTTGTATTTATTTCCACAACGAGACTTATTCCTAGTCCATCCATAAAACTGAAGCGGCTATATTGAAAAAGACAAAGAAATAACCAGCTTACCTATCTAGCTATAACTATAGCTGTATAATGCCGGGGGTAGTAATCTTTAGAAAATTAGTAAATGGTTCGAATAGTGTTTTATTTTGAACAGTAAAAGTTGAAGCGTTAGTTTTCAAGAATGTGGTTTGAATCAAATTTCTGTAAATGGATTTCCACTCTTGGAGCATAGGGGCCGTGGGGCATTAGCAGGGAGTCACTTAACTGTTAATGTTAAAGTGTAAAACAGGAGGGGGGGGAGGGAAGGCCTGGACATCTGTCTGAATTACAACTGATCTCCAGGCTACAGAAATCAGTCCCCATGGAGAACATGGTTGCTTTGGAGGGTGAGATCTATGGCATTATACCTCACTGATGTCCTTCAACAAATCTGGCCCTTCCCTTAATATTGCCAACCTCCAGGTGGCACCTGGAGATCTCCAAGTTCAGTTCTCCTGGAGAAAATGGCTGCTTTGGTCAGTGGACTCTGTGGTATTATACCCTGTTGAGGTCCCTCCCCACCCCAAACCCCGCCCTCCCCAGGCTCTACCCGTCAAATCTACAGGTACAGGGTAGGCAACCCTGTGCCTGGCTACGGAACCACTTTCCAGACCCTTGAAACCCAGAAAACATGGTATAGGAGGAGATGCTTTTCTACCTTAGCTGCCACTGCATAGCCCCAAATCAACATAAGTTAGGGGTGGAAGGAACCATACCTGTTACCATGTGGTACCATACTACCCACTTGGGGCAGCAAAATGACTTGAGACAGCCCTACCTTATAGCTAAGCAGAAAAAAATAAACATGGCTCGCTTCCCTCTATTTTCCCCTTCCCTCTGCCGCCCCACCAGCCACAGCCAGAATTATGAAGCACGCTAAATGTGTCCTCACATACGTCATCAGCAACGGAACCTCCTTTTTTTGCATGTGCAGTAATGTTATAACATAACATTGTAAAAAAAAAGAAAACACACCAGGAGCTATGGGGGAGGGGGAATGAAGAAACAATATAAGCCCGTGGCGTCAAAACCCACCCACCCACCAAAAAAAAAAAAGGAAGGGAAAGGAAAGGAAAGGAAAAAAGGAAAGGAACTTCATGGATGGGTAAGTGCACGGAGAAGGCTACATGAAACCTTGCTGCTGATTTTGTCCCAACATTATAATGTTGCTATATTATAATGAGGGGGGGAAAGTGTCATACCACAATCAACCTTACAGTTTAAAAAGTTTAGCAGATTGTTCAGGGGACAACCAGGGGGGCGGGAGGAGGCGTGAACACATGACACTGATGACACAAAAGGGCAGCAAGAAACAAAATTTAAAAATTGGGAATTCCTCACTGGAAAACTGCGAGTTCAGATCCGAAGGGGGGGGGAGATCGCAGGAAAAAGTGCATTTGGAAAATGCGGGATAACGGGACAGTAAATTCAGATCTACTCCCGGGGAGACAAAAAGTTGGTCTCTCTATTTTAAACCAGGCTGCCTGCTTGTGAGAAAACCAGTCCTCCAGAAACAGCATTTAAGGTGTGTGCGTGTGTGTGTGGGGGAGAACTGAAAACTCTCCCCCCTCTCTATTCACATGACCCATCAGGCCTCCTGAGGAGCAAACATCTAGTAAATATATAGTACAAGAGTGAGGGCTCCCTTCTCATTTGGTGGCTAAAGTATTTGAGCTTCAGCTTCAGTATCTGTCCTTCCAGGGAACAGTCAGGGTTGATTTCTTTAAGGATTGACTGATTTGATCTCCTTGCAGTCCAGGGGACTCTCAAGAGTCTTCTCCAGCACCATAATTCGAAAGCATCTATTCTTCGGCGCTCGGCCTTCCTTATTACTGTCTGGGAAAGATTGAAGGTCAAAGAAGAAGAAGAAGAAGAAGAGATTGGATTTATACCCCGCCCCTTCACTACCCAAAGGTGTCTCAGAGCGGCTTACAAACTCCTTTCCCTTCCCCTCCCCACAACAGACACCCTGTGAGGCAGGTGGGGTTGAGAGAGCTTTGACAGAAACTGCTCTTTTTCAAGGACAGCTTTGCCAGAGCTTGTGACTGACCCAAGGTCACATCAGCAGGTGCAAGTGGAGGAGTGGGGAATCAAACCTGGTTCTCCCAGATTAGCGTCCGCGCACTCAACCACTACACCAAACTGGCTGTACGGCAAAGGATGAGATGGTTATACAGTGTTATCAAGGCAACAAACGTGAAATTAAGCAAACTCCGGAGCACAACAGAAGACAGGAGGGCCCAGTGTGATGTGGTCCATGGGGTCATGAAGAGTCGGACTCGACTGTGTGACTGAACGACAACAACAAGAGATTCTTAATGAACTGATGGTTTGGATCTTGGGCCAGATAAAATATATAATATCCAACAGAAGTTTTAATCCAAGTCCTGAATTTTAAAACCTCTTAATATAAATTTACGTTAATAAAGTTTTACAAAGAAACCCAATTGTGAAAAACATGAATCAAACATTTCTAGTAGCTCATCTTAGAAAGACAATATAAAGGGTCCATCAGAACCTGGCTAGAAATGTGCTGCCTGCAGCACACCTTTGGTAATAAAGACTGGAGACAGCAAAAGTATCCATTTCTGGAGGAAATCAGGGCATGCCATACTAATGAGTAACTGTGAGCAACATTACAAGGAGATTTGGTTCTTTTTCCAATCCGTTTCTTCTTTTGTAATTTTGAATATATTTATAACTAAATCATTATCAACTGCTTCAATACCTTGTCAAGCATCAGTGTCAAACAAGTCAGGAAAACATCTCTAGCTAGCACCTTGCTATCGGAAATTTTCCTCTACCATTCAGCCTCATACCACATGCTTAGAGAAGCAGAAGCAGCAGTTCTGCTGAAGAGCCAGGTTTGCAAAGTTTCCATTGCACCAAACTGTATCAGTCCTCTTCTGGCAATGTGACCTGATCTATTAAATACATGATATCCAGCAATCCAGTCTGAAGAAGGGTACCAGGTGATTTCTTCAGTAAATCCACAGTCTGTAGGAGAACCATAATCAGAAACTGCCCCAGAGGCCATGTGAAAGGACAGAAAAATAAAGTCCATTATTGGAATCCGTGGTCAGTTTATGGGGCCTGAAAACACGTCTGATTCCGTATTCCCCTGCATGTTGACATTGCAGAGCAGATAATGAACGTCACCTTGGCCCAGAATAGCCATAAGGAAACCGGAGCATCAGATTGTCGTGGCCAGGCAAGACGTGGCAGGAGTAGTGCTCAACCAGACTTCCGAGACTTAGGAATTGCACATCTGACTCCAGGTAAAACTTTGAGTCCTGCTGCAAGATTGAAATGGACATCGGAGATTAGCGACTACCTCAGGAAAATCTCACGGCACTAAAATCAGAAATGCTGAGACCACTCCAACCATCTCAAACGGGACAGACCACTTCTATGGCTCCAGCTACACATTAACACACCTCACTTTTGTTGACGTTACGGTCAGAATGCCACATCTCCCTCTTCAAATGTTCAGACTTAGGCAGTTATACATTCAAACCAATCACAGACAGACTTAGGCAGTTATACATTCAAACCAAGCTCTAGCTCACAGCTGGGGGGGAGGGGTAAAAAAGACAGCTGCATATCCTATTATACAAATAATCCATACTGTTCCCTCTGTACTCACTGCTCTGCTACTAACCTGTGGAAATATTCTGTAGTTTCTCACTTTCTCAATGGATTCATCCCACACAACTAGTACCTTGAGAAGGGAAGAAGAGCACAACAAACTCAGCATTTTCAACAATGTCCCAGCCATCTTCGGTCAGTATGAAAATGTGAAAGTGCCATTTTTGATGAAAATGAGGCTGCTTTATCAGTGACCCAAATGCTGCCAAAGAGGCTCTGTCCAGACCGAGGAGTGAGGCACGCACAGCTTTGCTCAAGGGCCGGGGCCTCCGTCACCTGCGGTGGTCTTTTATCCAACCCTCCCCACCTTGTCTGTTGAACCTGCCTCTGGTAGGGATGTTACTATCGATCTTGTTCCAACAGGCCTTAAGTGTTTGAAAGCTGCTGCTTTTTGGCTTTTAATTGTTGTTGAATGATATTTATCTACAGAAAACTGGAAGTGGTTCTGTGTGAAATGGACAAAGAATAAGAATTAGTAGAGACATGAAGGGGGAAATGATGTTATTTTACTTCTAGAAGAGCGTAGTGGGGCTTGGCGTAGGAGGCTGGGAAGTGGGCGTGGCTCCACAGGCAGAGGAAAGAGTCATGCTCCAGGACTTATTCGCCACCTGGCCCATGTTACAGAGCAGCAGATCCCTGCTCCTCCAGCAGCAGCAGCAGCACCACCTTTAGTACCCAGCCCAACATCTGGCCCTGCCCTTAAGTTCAGATCCGAAGGGGGGGGGGAATCGCAGAAAAAGTGCATTTGGAAAATGCGGGATAACGGGACAGTAAATTCAGATCTACTCCCGGGGAGACAAAAAGTTGGTCTCTCTATTTTAAACCAGGCTGCCTGCTTTTGAGAAAACCAGTCCTCCAGAAACAGCATTTAAGGTGTGTGCGTGTGTGTGTGGGGGAGAACTGAAAACTCTCCCCCCTCTCTATTCACATGACCCATCAGGCCTCCTGAGGAGCAAACATCTAGTAAATATATAGTACAAGAGTGAGGGCTCCCTTCTCATTTGGTGGCTAAAGTATTTGAGCTTCAGCTTCAGTATCTGTCCTTCCAGGGAACAGTCAGGGTTGATTTCTTTAAGGATTGACTGATTTGATCTCCTTGCAGTCCAGGGGACTCTCAAGAGTCTTCTCCAGCACCATAATTCGAAAGCATCTATTCTTCGGCGCTCGGCCTTCCTTATTACTGTCTGGGAAAGATTGAAGGTCAAAGAAGAAGAAGAAGAAGAAGAGATTGGATTTATACCCCGCCCCTTCACTACCCAAAGGTGTCTCAGAGCGGCTTACAAACTCCTTTCCCTTCCCCTCCCCACAACAGACACCCTGTGAGGCAGGTGGGGTTGAGAAACGGTATGATCGGATGGGTCACTGGGGTGTGTGTGTGCTGTTTGAATCAGGTATAATATCGGGCTGGGGACAAACCCAATCAGTTCTGACACAGATGGCTTCTACTTGACACAGCTACATATCTCAATAAACAAATCTTTACCAAAACAGTGTTGTTGGGAGTGAGT